AAAAAAAAAAACTTTGAATAAGCTCTTTAGCAGAAATGTTATATTTTTTTCCATCCTGGTGTTAGGTTTTCATGTTTACATCTCCCTCAGAATTTTATTCTAAAAAGTTGTGTGTTTGGTGGTGGTGGTGGTGGTGGTGGTTATTTATTTATTTTTTTGGAACACCAACTCGAGTATGCATCGGAATTTAATTGCAAGGTTTGTTAAAACATAGATTGCTGGTCTCCACCCCCAGAGCTTCTGATCCGTTGGGTTTGCGAGATCCTAGAATTTACACTTCTAGTACATTTCCAGGTGATGCTGATGCTATTGGTGCAGGGACCACACTTTGAGAACCGCCGTTAATATTTGGTGCTTGAAAGCCATTTAAAGAACATTTGGTCAGACTTCACTATACGAAAAATACACATCTAGGGCACCTGGCTGGCTCAGTCGGTTAGGCGACCGACTTCGGCTCAGGTCGTGATCGCATTTTGTGAGTTCGAGCCCCGCGTCGGGCTCTCTGCTGAGAGCTCGGAGCCTGAAGCCTGCTTCGGATTCTGTGTCTCCCTCTCTCTGCTCCTCCCCTGCTCATGCTCTGTGTCTCTCTGTCTCTCAGTAATAAATAACCATAACAAAAAAAGAAAAATATGCATGTAAATATCTTCTGTACTGAGTCATCATTACAGTTATTAATAAGTGTGCAGCTGCTCACTCCATAAATATTTTGCACATTTAAAAAGTAAAGTGTAGAAAGTACTGGAGATGCAGGTCTTTACTTTAAGAAGACGATTATTTAGAGAGTATGTGAAAGTGGGGGAGAGGGGCAGAGGGGAGGAGGGAGAGAGAGTCTTAAGCAGGCTGCGTGCTTAGTGCAGAACCCGACGTGGGGCTTGATCCCACAACCCTGGGATCAGGGATCCCTGGGATCATGACCTGAACTGATATCAAGAGCCGCACGCTTCACGAACTGAGCTACCCAGGCGCCCCTGGAAATGTAGGTCTTATGAGATATAATTGGGTCTCCCTCCCAATTAAGTCCTGTCCTCTGGGTGAATTATATATACTTCTAGAAAAGGGTAAGTTTCATTTTTAAAAAAATGTATATGAGTGCTGAGAACCGTTAGTCTCATAAATAAGTAGATGGAAATATAAATGTTATTTTACAGTGATGATTGTTATATTTTAACTTATTTTGAGAGAGAGAGTGCAGGTGGTGGGGAGAGAGGGAGAGAGCGAGAGAGCCAGAATCCCAAGCAGGCGCCACGTTGTCAGCACAGAGCCCAGCGCAGGGATCGAACCCACAAACTGTGAGATCATGACCTGAGCTGAAATGGAGCGTCAGATGCTTAACTGACTGAGCCACCCAGGCACCCCTATTTTGTAGTGAATATTACTCCATTCTCTTAACTGTCATAATTCTATGTCAAGTCACATAGTGCTCAGCTTCAAAAATACTCTTGCTCTGTTGGCTGGCAACTCAGTTAGGCTTCCTTCAGTTTTGTTGAAAGCAGACTCTGCAGTCACCTGGCAGAGTGATTTGTTGCTCAGTCATTAGTCATTCACTTTATTACTGACATTGATATTTTATTATCGTTGCTTTAATGTTTATTCCTTTTTGGGAGAGACACAACACAGGTGAAGGAGGGGCAGAGAGAGAGAGAGAGGGAGACACAGAATGCGAAGCAGGCTCCAGGCTCCGAGCTGTCAGCGCAGAGCCCGACGCGGGGCCTGAACCCGTGAACTGTGAGATTATGACCTGAGCTGAAGTTGGGCGCTTAACCCACGGAGCCACCCAGGCGCCCCCGTGATGTTGATATTTAAAATTGTCCCTCTGGTTTGATACGACAGAGGAGTTTTTACACAACAGGGCAGTGACTCATAGAACATTCAGGAAACCTGTCTTTTGTTACATAGGAGAAAGGGTGTCGAGAAAAGGGAGATGGACGGGAAGAATCTGTACTTAAATACTGCTGTGCTTTGGGGAAGAGTATTTATGCGAGGTGAGGATCTAGAAGTTGATTCCTTCAAGACATCATGTGTCTGTGAATCCTTGGAAAATCTTCGCGTATCTCCAGGCGTACATGTTCCCCACTTTGAAGATCACTGCCCTGGAGTGGTGTTATTCAGACTATAGGTTTATATAACCCTTCGATGGATTAAAAAAATTAAGCAGGCAGTGACCAGCACTTTTAAAAAAAGGAATAAAATGGAAAATAGGGAAATAACAGTATATTATGTTTGTAAGTTTCAGTTAAGTACAGTTGCATGAAATATTTTGTTTCAGTGACATATATGTGTTATGTATAAAGTGATGTAAAATAAATTTTTAAAAAAGTTTTTATTTATTTTTGAAAGAGAGCGAGCACACACTAGTGAGGGAGGGCCAGAGAGAGGGACGGAGAGAGAATCCCAAGCAGGCTTCTTGCTGTCAGGCCACTCTGCACGGAGCCCAACGTGGGGTTCAATCCCATGAGAGATCATGACCTGAGCCTAAACCAAGAGTCAGGCGCTCAACTGGCTGAGCCCCCCAGGCGCCCTGAAGGATGTTCCTTGTTGTGAATTGTGGTCAGAGACGTTGGACAGCCAGCATTGTGTAGGAGGCAGCGTTCCTAGGCCTCCCGATCCAGCCCCGACTTGGAAAGGCTTGCTGACTACAGTGTGGGATGGGGCTCCGTTTTCTTGTGACTTGTAGGCGGGCCTCTCTCTGTTTGATTTTGTTCCTGCGTAGGCTCACGAGGAGTTGGGGAGGCTGGTGTTCTGTCTGGGCCTGGTGCACTCTGCACGTCACCGTGGAGCTTGGGACGCCTGAGATAGGGTTTGCGTCTTCAAGAAAGTATAGTCTA